GCCACTGCACTCCAGTCTGGATGACAGAGTGAGACTCCAACTCAAAAAAAAAAAAGAAAGTCATATATAAGAGACTCTGGGCAGTCTAACAATGTACAACTTTTCTGTGTTGGAGCATTCATTATTAATTTCCCTTGCCCTTAATTCTTTTATTTATATTCACTCCTGCAAATGAAACCTTTGAGTACTTTGCTTAAACTTAATTGTAATGAGCACAGTATTCCCCTAATCTTTCAGGTGTATGACACGCATGCAACAATTAGTATTCAGTTTCACTTTCTTCCTTGTCTTGATGAAATAAAAATTGAAATTACCATTTTAAATTTATGTGCTCAGCGTGCAATTACTGATAACAACACCATGCTCATAATTGGTTCTAGATTTAAATGGTTCATATAGTAAATGCAGTTAAAGAAGACATTTGTTTTCTTTTTCAATATTTCTGACCTTTATTTCTTTATCTAGATTTTGTCCAACTATTAATTAACCGCCATATTAAACATGAGTTCATCAACATCCTAGAATATCAGTTTCTCTTTCTGAAAAAATTTTCATTTTGTTTTTTAATATCTGAATTGTCTTTGGTGTATGTATGTTTTCTTTCTAGAATGAGGATATATTGAATTTCCAGCCATTATTTTATTACTCATTCAACATGCAGTTATCAAATGAAAGTGTACTCTGCACTCTGCCTTCTACTAGGCACTAAAAAGAAGACAGTCTATGCCTTCAGGGCGCTCTGAATCTAGGAAATAGGAAAGTAAACACAGTAAACATAACAATAAGACGTATATGACTTGGTCTTACGCGGTCTGCTAACTATTCTATTTGAATCATTTTATTTTATTACATTCAAACAGCCTATTTTTAGTATGACTTTTATTAGGACCAAACTACATTAGCATAATATCTATAGAATGCATAAGGGAAATTTCTAATACACTGTTACATAGCTATATCATTGTGTGCTAATATATTTCATGGGTATGATATAGTATAATACTATGGCAGTGTCATACTTTTTTTTTGAAAGTTAATTTACCAGTCATTGTTTTACCTCTAATATTTAATCACTGAGAAAGATAGATTTTGAGCTCAGTTTTTAAAATAATTTATTACACTTTTAGAAAATGCAGCAATGATCTTAATATGTTCCTTTTCTACATACCACAGAATTTGTGAGAGGAAAGATATTAGCAGTTACTTCTCAAACTTAAAATGCATAGTAACCATAAGTCACTAGATAAAAATATAAACTTCTAAGTTGTTCCACAAACCCATGCAGGTCATCCTCAGACTGCACTGTAAACACATCTCCTCTGCTCTAATGTGGGATTTGTACTGCTTGAGTTACAGTTAAATGATAAATGAATAAAATGAAAACCACTTTTGCTTGGTGATCTGGGCAATTTGTTGTTGGAACTGCAAGTAGCAATGGTCATAGACTGGAGGAAGAGGAGAGAACAGTGAAGAAAATTAGGACGAATGGTGAGAATTGGTGACCCGTGAAATTCTCTGAACTGGAGGGAAGCAGAGCTGGTCTTGATGCCCTCTGAAGACACACAACTTTGCCAGCAATTCACGAGTGGACGTTACCCATTCATCAGTTATAAAACAGTTAATGTTTCTCCATTCTTCTATATTACAAAATGTAAAATATTCTAAAGCAAAACCATCTGACTCCTTCATTTTGAAGAAAATAATAGTTAATGTAGAATACATGAGCTCAAAAGAGAGTGAGTTGAGCACAAGTTATGTTACAAATTTCTGTGTTATAAACTCCTTACATGGATTTTTTAAATTCTTTTAACAGTGCAATTGAGAAAGCTATGTTAAAAAAACCAGACTAATCATCTATTTCATTTCAAAAGTTTATGTATAATGTATATGAAACTTTTTTGGTACTGAGAGACATCTAGAACTTTTTCAGAACAAAAATCATTTTTAAAATGAATTTAAGAAGTTGATATTTTATTTTCATTCTCAGGTTGTTTTCTAGTTACAGAACCTGAAATTACATGAAATCTAACTCATCCCTACTATTTCTTTATTCAAGCGGAAAATATTTTAGCTAGTTTATTTTTTTCTGACAGACTACATTTCCAGATATATTTTCATCCATACTAAGCTTCTCTCTAAGACTAGTTATATCTGTACATTTATTTATTACTCTTTCTAATGATCTTTTTTAAAACTATGATCCTGGATGGAAAACTATAATTTTTATGTGTTTATCAGAAGTGAATGTTGTTATAACATAAATGTGTGTTGCCATTTTAATTAAAAACAAAAACAAAAACAAAAATGACTGATGCTTCTGTCCTAAAAAATAATTTATTTGATCTCAAATTATTTGGTTGCTTGGCACATTTACACTGATATTAGCACATGCTGCTTGCTTATTCTCTTTAAAGGATGCATTTGAGATCTTAACTCTATGTTCTGTGAGCTACAGGACCTGTGATTGACCATATAGGTATCTCCTTGTCTTTAAA